AGTCTTCTGGATCAGATTTTATTCCTATTGGGGAACTTATATTTAAAGACAAAGACTTGCTCTATTGGAAGTGGCCATAATAGCTCAAAAATATTTAATTAAAGAGAGGTTTCAAAAAGCAGATTGGGATTTCTCGATTTCTTTAGAAATGTTGTGTTTATGAAACATGAAACATGAGTTCTCAGGTCTCCGTTTCTTTGACGCAACTCCACTCACACAGGTTTACTCCTAACTTATGCCAGCATAAGTGGTTACCTCTTTGTTAGTAAATTAATCAGGGCCAGCACACAGGTTTAATACTGTCCATGCTGTTCAATTCTTAGCTCTCCCCTTGATACAAATCTGGCTTATGCCAACTAGCACTATTCCAGATGCTGCAGGACCTAAATGCAATGAAATTTTCTCTCCTCAATTTAAGGGTAGTGTGAGCAAATATTTACGTATTATTCATGCTATTGCATAGCTATCTTTTATTTTTCTTTGCTAATGCAAGTATCATGTTTTATAACTATTCCTTATAAAAATGTTGCCAGGAGTGTGCTTAATAGACTTCGAGGTTAGTTTATATTATTATTACAGCAAACTATTTTGACTAAGACTGTCCATTATATTCAGTATTTTATACTGATGCCCATTCTAATAGCACTGTTAGATTTGTTGTTAGTGATAATTCCTCACTTTTAAAAACTGAAGGCATTTAGGAGGGGATTCTTCATTAGGGGAGAGTTTCAAAATACTTCAGATAACTACAGAATATGGGGATCTAAGAGATATTGCACTGACAGCTGACTTTACTGCATTAGCATCACCCCTGTTGACTTCCTTGGCATCAAAATATTTCCCAGGAATTCTCTTGCTGTGAGTGCCTTACTGGAAACCAATTTGGAGCTGTGGTTTAAGGCTGCTGCCAAATCTGTTGGCATGGGTTGTCTGTGTGCTACAGAGTTATGAGGCTGGAGCTGTCAGTGTGACCTTTGGTATCAAGAGAGTACAAGGCAGCTTGATCTAATAGCTAAGCACAGACTCAACATACAGAAGGTGCATATCCTGAGTGTGCTTTTGGCTTCTGAGAAGTTAATGAAATCCTAGATTTGACAAACTCATTTGCAGAACATCCATTCATTTTTAATTTCATCTATAGCCTTTCTGTGTTGGGTGTCTTTACATTGTATTGGTAGATTCCTTGTATCTGTGCCTGGGAAGTGTACTTAGTCTGTGACAGACTACTGAGAAACTATTTTGATATGGAATGCTGGCATAATTTTTAAAGCAAATCAATAAAATGTGGATTACCATATCACAAAGAGTATTTACTCAAGATTTTTAAAGGAAGCCAAACGTAAAATTGCTGAGTAACTTTGGGCTGCTGCTTAAGTTGGGCTTTTTGCCAGAAAAATGGGCAGTTACAAATAAGATATGATTTTTGAAAAGGTTACCAGGGAGATGCAGAGAATGGAGTCCCCCAGGGATCTCTTATTGGACCTGTGCTCTCTCATTTGCACCAATGGTCTGGAAAAAGGGGTGAGGAGAAATAGGTGGCAATATGTGTTGACAATACCAAATTCTTCAGGGTGGTGAAAAATCAGCTCTGGACAGCAAGTATTGCAGAAAGTTCTTTTAGGTAGTGTGTAATGGTGGTAAAACAGTAGACAAAATTGCAGGTCACTAAATAAAAAAAAAAAAAAAGAATTAATTGGAGGGGGAAATGAACCTAAGAATGCAAAAATAGTAGTGTCCTCTAAATTAGATATTTATTGCAACTGAGGAATGATATTTTGTAGGCATAAGAGATATTGCTGAAAATGTGAACTGTGGCAAGAAGGCAAATAGAATATTAACAGTCTTTTAAAAAGCAACAGAAAACAAGACAAAGTGTCATTTGCAGATCTGTTAATCCATACTGTGCCTTCAAGTGGTGTATACAATTTTAATTCCCTTCCCCTGCCATCTCAGAAAGGTATTATTGAACTCTGCAGAGTGAAAGTTTAAGTATTAAAATATAGATTTTTTTTTTTTTATTTTTTTTTTAATTAAATCTATATAAGGACAAGGACACTAGACTAGAATTAAATAGATTAAGATTCTTCAGCTTGGGAAGAGACAAGTGGAGAAAGTGGAAAGACAGAAGTCATTTAAGTATGGAAAATTATGAGTTGTGCAATCAGTTGAGTAGGAAATCTGAACAGACAACAATGGTCAAAGTAAATTGTCAAATGAAATTATCAGGCAATTTTATAATAAAAAAGAAATACTTTTTTTACAGAATAAATCAATTATCAAAATTCACAATTCATTTCCGCAGTATTTGTGGGTTCACAAATGATGGGCAAATTCACAGTTATCCCCTGATTGCTATTAAATGTGAAAACACAACCTCAGGCTCATGAAATCGCAAAGCCACCAGTTGCTGGAAGTTGGGAGAATATACTGAGGAAAGTATCATTATTGCTGGAAGTTGGGAGAATATACTGAGGACAGTATCATTCTCTATTTTTGTTTTTTAGAATCTTTGCCCAATCATCTGCTACTTAGGATTGGTACAGTTGAGGTATGGAGCTGGAAAATATACTGTCTGCTACAGGAGTTACTACAGATGATAATAATATACTTGTGCATGTACAACTCAGCAGAGCACCCAGTGTGTAACTAGTGCAACTAATGATCTCTGAATCATTTCAGGCATTTGTAGGAGATCTGCTGTATTTGATTTTGCTGCCAGCAACAGCTTAATTACATCTATCTTTACTGTCTAGCTGCTTTAAATGGACAGTCTCCAATTCTGCCTCATCCTTCTCAAATAAAACTGTATGATAACATGTAAAAAGTCAACAGTAATGTAATGCAAAATAACAATTAACCATTCATCCACCAACCAGTTAGGTTGGCTGAAATTGTTGAACTTCCTCATGACATTCAGTCAGTCACCCGTACCTCAATGCTTGAATTTGAAGCGCTGCACAAAAGCATCCACGTTACCACTCTCCAGAAGCAGCAAATCCAGTTGTTTTGGTTATTCCAGTCCTGAGACTCTTTCTCTACTTTTTTGTGGGACTCTAGGGATGGATGAAATGCTCTTTGTTTTCCTCACTTTATTAATAAGATATATAACAACAAAGTGTTTCTTAGCATGATGGTTCTGTTTATCAATTTTATTAAGTGTCTCTTCTGGGCCCTGGAGCATTATCACATCATCACAGCTTAACAGGCTACAATGTCAATTGAATTGCCGGAGATGACCATAAGTATGCTCTTAGCCCATGACAAATGTAAATATGACTGAGCTTAATCCTTGATGAAATACTGTATCTTGTCACTGTGTGCACACAGCTGTTGTGGCTCATGTGAAATACAACTTGACCATGTATTTAACTCATCCTCATAAAATGTTTTGCATGGTAAATAGGTTGCCCAGAAAGAGCAATTAGCTTGAGGTAGGAGTGCGTGTGTAGCATTGCTTCAAAGGTCTACCCTCACATGATGAAAGCCAGCCCTGGATTCCTTCTCCTTCACAGGGCAATAAGTCTTTCCAAACTCTAAATGTGTTTCTCTTCAGCCCTACCAGCAATTTTTTCCTTTTTGGGTTTCCTTCAAATTCTTTATATTCTACATTGTGCCCGATACCTTTTTTCTTTTTTCTTTTATTTTTTCCTCTCCTAAGAAAACTTCCTGAATCCAGGACTGGACAGCAAGTTACTACTGAAACAAAAATCTTTTGAGGATTAAGGCTTTTTAATTCAGTATGAAGATCAATAATACTCTAGGTCTGACAAGTACAGTGAATTTACAGTTGTTCTTAACACGATTATTCTGTTTCAGCTTGCTGCATTACATAAATAGATAATCTACTTTTTCTAGTTCATCCATCCCGCAGGCAGCAATGTATTAATGGTATTTCTTCATATGTCGGTAGTCTTGCTTTATAATATGTTCAAAAACATATGGTTGGTTGGGGTTTTTTTAGTTTTGGGGTTTTTGGGGGTTGTTTCTTTTTTTTTTACAGAGGGCACTATATTTTCTGGATTACGTCTTGTTATTTTTGGCAGGTTGTTTGTTACTAGTCAGTAACTGTAAATGACATCATATTTTGCAGAAATAAAGGAGTTACCTCTCTTCCAAAGAATAATCTGATAAGCCTACTGAATATAAGTTGGTTTGAGAAGATTGCAACTGAAAAACCTTAGCTGCTTTAATTTGAAAATGGAAATTTTAGAATATTTTCAAGACAAAATATTTTGTCACGTGGTTGTAACTTTCTAGAAGTTGCTCACATAGGGTTACTAATTCCAACAAGCAGGGTGTCTGTGTGTGTCTCCTCTTTTTTTTTCTTTTTTTTTTTCCTTTTTTTTTTTTTTTTTTACATACCCTTAGAAGTATGGAAGAGGTCACTGAAAATATGATTTAAAGCATTTGTGAAATCAGAACAGAAATAGAATGCTGGGATCATAGCTGTTTTGCATACTTCCTCAAATCCGAAGAACATCACGGTAAGGGTGTCCTATTTTAGACAGGATTTGTTGTATATAGGTTAGTTGCTGCGATGGGTTACACAAGACTTCCAGAAGCAGTCAGGCACAGTGTAGGTGAGTTTTTAATCCTGCCCTTCCTTTTTTATAGCTCTGTCTTGCAAGAACAGAGCATTGTGGTTTCCATTTAATCACCTTTGAAATAATTGTCCAATTACACAATAATATGTTGCCAATCTTTCATAAGTTTCACATGTTTCAAAATAGACAAGGGAGTGGTGTTGAAGACACCTGCAATTAAGGACATTGGTGGAGAGGAGAGAAAATGGAAGACACTTGTAGTGGTCAGTAGCAACTGCAGTGTTGCTGCTGACCTCTTCAGGTATAGGTGGCATGAGCTGACACAGTGTGAGGTCTAAATGTCTCTCCTAATTTGTGGTATATTAGAGAAAATATTTGCCTCAAGGTCTAAGGTCTAAGCTTTGATGAGATTAAATGTATTAATCACAAGTTTCTCTTCTGTATTTCCAGAAGAATGGTGTATCAAATGGAACTCTCTACAAAAAAACATTTATTGAGCACTTTGAACAGGCACCAATGTATGTTGCTGTTCTTACTTTCCTGGGTTTTGGAGTGGGAACAATATTTGGCTACCTGCGAGATTTTATGAGAGCCTGGGGACTAGAAAAACGTAACGTTGCTGCAGAGAGAGAACAACAAAAAGTATGTATGAAAAAGATATTATGTATCCACAGCTGAGTTTTCCCCTGCTTACAAGTTACATACAATAACCTACCAAAGTAACCTAGCACACAACTTTCATCTTAGAGAAGAACATTGCATAGGGATGAGAGGAATGGCACACACTGCAGTATAGTTAAACATGTGTGTATGAATATGTACCTGTACAAAAATAAAATCATAATTTTCACCCAGAGAGATGTTCATCTTGTTCTAAGAGTGTCAGAATACTCTCAGCAACATAGAATCTCAGTGTATTAGGTCAATCCACAGAAAAAAACTCGGAAATGCCATATTGTTAAATATATTATCTCTCCAAATCTCTTAAACCCCAATTTTTCTTTGTCCCATCTGGCTGTTTTTCATAGCGATAGGTAGTGCTAACATCTTGGTAATTGCTGACTTACGTTTGCTGAACAGAGCACTCAGGAATCATTGTCCCAGCACAAAGTGAATGTAGCCTGAGTTCTTGTGAGTCCTGACTTAGAAATTTTTTCATCCCAGATAGTTCTAAATGAAACTTGCACCTCAGCAAGCTCAATTGCCTTCTAACTTTTTTTAGATTTTTTTTGTTGCTCCTCCTTCTCTGTGCAGTTTGAGCCATCATTTACAATAATACCTGGCATAGCAGAGGAAAAATGCAAATGATGTTGCTGTTCCTCTTACAAATAAAATTCCCAAAATTGTTTACTGTTTTGGCTTTTTGAAGATGTATGCACTACTTAATGAAACATAATGGTGCAGTCTTTTTATCAGCATTTTCATGGAATATGCTTTTCAATTCACTTCATGATTCGGCCATTTGTTGAGGTATTTTGATTCCATATGTGCCAGTTAAATCTTTTTCCTATCCACGTTCATTTAATTCTCCATTCTCCCACATATGTAACTACATGTCATGTTATTTTTATCAGGTTTTTGTATCCAGTGTCTAATATGGCTATATTGCTGTTTCATATAAAACTTTGCTTAGGTCCCACACCTTCATTTTAATTTAATGTCCAAGTAAAATTTATAGATAGAAATTAATTGTCAACCAAAGTAGTTGGCTTCACTCGCTTTTTGTACATCCAGGCTAGGCCAATAACGCCCAGATCAATTACATTGGACTAGCTTTAATCTAACGTATGCAACATTTCATGAAATATAATGAGTTGTTTATCCTAGTTTTGCAGTCTGCTCCATACACAGCAAGATGTTAAATTTGGAGCATTTGGTTTCTCCAAGTGACAGAATCCTGAGTTCTTCTATTTCCAACTTCCCACATATTGGACAGGAGAATTAAGCCAACTTGTTGACCATTATAAAAAAACCAACCAATACTCCCCCTCTCCCCCAAAAGCCAAGACTATTTAAAGGGAATTAAAGCTATTTGCTGGTTGGAGTTGTTTGTGACATAGGAACATGTGGCTGTTAAAGCTCTCTGTTTACTAACAAATCAGTTTTTCCTTTTTAATGGGAATGACTGACTTGGGTACAGAAGCAAGACATTTTTCTAGCAACATAATTCTGTGCATGTTTTCAATGCAGGATTTTGTGCCACTTTATCAAGATTTTGAGAACTTTTACACCAGAAACCTCTATATGAGAATACGGGATAACTGGAATCGTCCAATTTGCAGTGTCCCAGGGCCACAGTTTGACCTCATGGAACGTGTTACGGATGATTACAACTGGACATTTAGGTGAGTCAGCTTACACTCTGCAGCTGTCAGCTTCATAAGAATACTCCTGATATATCTGCAAAGCACAGAAAGTTGCATCTAACCTCTCATACCTAGATCCTCGACTAATATACGTCAGCATATTTTTTCTGAAATCAGTACCATGCTGATAATCTGTCCCCTTTCTTCTGAGTACTGCGTCCAGCTCTGGAGCCCTCAGCACAAGAAGGACATGGAACTGTTGGAACGGGTCCAGAGGAGGGCTACAAAAATGATCCGAGGGCTGGAGCACCTCTCCTATGAGGACAGGCTGAGAGAGTTGGGCTTGTTCAGTCTGGAGAAAAGGAGGCTACGGGGAGACCTGATTGCGGCCTTCCAGTACCTAAAGGGGGCCTATAGGAAAGATGGGGAACGTCTTTTTCATAGGGCCAGCTGTGTTAGGACAAGGGGAAATGGTTTTAAACTAGAACAGGGTAGGTTCAGGCTAGAGGTAAGGAAGAAATTTTTTACAATGAGGGTGGTAAAACACTGGAACAGGTTGCCCAGAGAGGTAGTGGAGGCCCCATCCCTGGGAACATTCAAGGCCAGGTTGGATGGGGCTCTGAGCAATCTGATCTAGTTAGCAGTGTCCCTGCTCACTGCAGGGGGGTTGGACTAGATGACCACTAGTGGTCCCTTCCAACCCTAAACATTCTATGATTCTATGATTCTATGATTCTATGAATGTTTTTTGGAAATGCAGTATGGCAGGGACTGAACTCTATCACAAATAGGTTTTGTTTGGTGGTGTCAGCACAAGCAAGACTGCTTGCATTCATAACAACAGACCTTTAGTCAGAATATTACAACAAGATTTGTTGTATCCCTCGATTAGGATTTAAATAATAATTTCTTGCATTGCATAAATGTGTCTTCATATTTACACAGTGAGCTTTTGGCAGTAAGTTTTAAGCAGTTTACAACTTGAAGATTTCAGTGTATCGCAACTGTTACCAAATTATATAGATATGGAAATTCACCACATAGACAATGTGTGGGTTGACTATATTTCAGCTTATTGGATGCATCATAGTTTTTCCTGCAACATTTTCCTCATGTTTAATTTCCACTTGTGTGTGAACACTGATGACTATGTGGAAGCAGTTGACAATTTGCTTGAAAAAATAGTGTCTACAAGTTGTTCCTTAAATAAAGTCCTAAGTTGGTTGGTTCATTGAATTCCATAAAAGCACCCTTTCACCTAATACCAGTATATTGCCATCTCCAGCATGGAGTCTGGAAAACATTCTGAGCAAGAAGCAGTATTTAGTTAGGAGAAGAGAAAGGCTGGAAAAACCTTTGGGACATTAAAGTATGAGGATTGTAAATTCCCAAATAGGAATTTGACAGTGGAACAAAATCTGGTTGGAGAATTTTAGGGTTTTTTCTTTTCTTTTCTTATTGTTTGGGGTTGGAGAGAAAGTTGAGCTGTTCTTTAAAATTTGTTTTAATTATAGGTTTACAGGAAGGACTATCAAGAATGTAATCAATATGGGTTCTTATAACTACCTCGGCTTTGCAGAAACAGATGTTAATGCTTTGAAAACTGTGACCATAGAGTTACAAAAATACGGGACAGGAATCTGCAGTACCAGACAGGAAATGGGTGAGTAAACAGCTAGATGGCCACCAAAGTTTCTGGAACTATATGCTTTTTCTTACAGATATCTTGAAGGAATTGGATACTTAGAGAATTTTAGTCACATTAATAATTACTTGTTTCACTATTAAAAGTGATGCTGTGTATTATTCATTATCACATATGGAATTTTTTAAAAGGAAAAATGTTATTGATTTTTGGAAAAGCAAGAACAAATGTCTCATATAGTGACCTGGGATTTTTAATGATGAAAGTAACAGGCTTATTTTTTCAAAGAAGTAAACTAAACATTGAGACTTCAATGCTGGAAGTAACAGGCTTATTTTTTTAAAGTAGTAAACTAAACATTGAGACTTCAAGAATTGTTCTAGGGCAAATGTAATTAATCTGATTAGTAAAATGAGCTTTTACATAATTTTTTTTTAATCCATGTTCTAAGAATATATTGTAATGTTTTATCAGACATTAATGGGCACAACATAGAAATGTCTAGTGTGCCTCTAAGGAATAAATTGAGGGAGGTTCCATCTCACTTTTTTGGTTTATATGTCCTTTATGACTTGTCTGCATTTTTTGGTTTGTAGGCTGCACGCAGTGTTATCTTCAATTGTATATTTTTACACAAAGCTTTGCATTCCAAATGGTGCAATCAGCCTGCATTTCAGAGAAAACAGTTTTGAGCCATAGAAATGCAAGGGGAGGTTTCTCTTCAGGCTTTGTCCTTCTTGGGAACTATCAAAAGAAAAAAAAAAAAATGTAGGCTTCCCAGCATGGAGAAGTCTTTTATAGAAAACTTCACCCCTGCTGCCAGTTCAGCAACCTGAAAAATTTTCATTTTGTATCTCTCAAAGCAAACTCTCTTCCTCCAGAATTCTTATGGGAAAAAATATTGTCTTCAATTTGTTTTTTTTTGTTTAAAGTCTCATTTCCAGACAAAAAAATAATGCAAACCTTGTCATCTGCTTCTTATCTTGTCATCATAGTTTGATTTGCCAATAATAAACATGTCAGTGGCACCACTCAGAGAGGGTTTACAGATTGACCCTACTTTCCTTTTGTAGGTAACCCACCTGGTGACTGCAATATATTAACGTGAATTGCATGCTTGAAAGTGGTCACCATTACTAGTCATGTCAGGTATTGAAGGAGTATTTCTCTGTATCTTTTTCTCTTGGATTCTATTTTGTCTGAGAACATTTCAAATTGTTTTCAGTATATCAAAGAGTATGCCTGGTGTTCCTCATTCTTTATCTTTTGCGGAATTTTTTATGTGGAAGACTTGTATAACTGACTTATTCTCAAAAAAAAAAAAACCCTTTATGAAATTATTTATTCTCCCTTCAAATATTAAAAATCTTAGTTAACTTCATCCAGTCTGTTTTTAGAGCCAATGTATACAGTTTTCTAGGACTTTCTCTTCACCTAAACTCCTGTGCCATACTCAAAGTTATCTTGAAAGATTGAGCAAAGTTTTAGATTCATTCTAATTGCTTTCACAACAAATAATCCCATGAACTTCATTCAGACTATTCACAATGCAAGAATGGGCTACAAATAAAGAACATTGGACAAGTCTTGTCAGTATCTTTTAGGGAGTGAATTTCAGAGAGCAGCTTGGACATCAAGACTTATTAAAATAGGAAAGCAGGGTGTTAAGACCTGGCTTAGATGCTGCAGATGAGCAGTCATAGCATTTTGTCCTAGGCAGCTAACAGAGAGCCTGTGCTTGGTGTAGTCAGTGGAGAGACCGTTCCACAGAGCGATTCTGAGCGATGGTTACTTCATTGGCCCTGGTTCTGTTGGAGTTTGTCTACTGCCAAGAACTGTATAAAGAGCCTAAGGAAAATAACTTCTTATTAGTAGTGTGGATACCCTCTTTTGTTTTTCCTTTATCCTCTTACGCTGCTTCAGCTCTATTCTGGTTCACAGTTGAGCAGATTTGAAAAATTTTATCCAAGTTAAATATGTATACACATATACTTTCAAGAGAGAGGTAGGGAAGGGTCTGTATGAAAGGTCTTACCTTTTTTAATTATCATTTGCCATCTTCATTCTTAGAAATATAAAACAGAACAGTTTTGTTCCTGTGCAGATAACATTGCAAAACTTTTGTTGTTATTGTGTGGCTGAGCTGAAGTGGTTTGAAGGAAAAATGCAGAGAGCTGTAGGAGCCAGGGCTATAAATTGCCTGTGGGGTCCTAATCCAAGAGAGTGCTTGAACATATTTATAATTTCAAGCTAATTGACTTTGAAAGTACTGTTCTTCTTATGTGCATTTAAGTGTCTGGCATGTTTGTGCTTTTACCAAGATCGCTCTCAAAGCAGTGATAGGTGTCTCTCTTTGAGAAGGATCATTCCACTAGTATGAGAAGATTTCGGAGAGAGGGGAAAACAAAGAATAAACAAATCAAATTAGTGTGAGTGAAGTTTGAAAGAATACATGATGGTAAAACTGTCCTTTGCAGTCTCTTGCCTAAACTCCTCCTCTTATAACTGTGCAGACTGCTGTGTGGGTATGAAATGCTGTCATGTCAGAATGTTGTTGCAGGTAGTTTGCTCTCAGAATAAGTTAATACAGACGTTTTAACATGGTTGTTTATATCTTTACAAAACTGTGTTTTATTAAGGAAACTTAGTGAGGCTAAACCTTGCTAAATGTAAAACAATTATTCTACATTCCCAGAAAAGTAACTTAAGTGTGTGTAAACATAGTTCAGAAATTAACTTCGGTGAGAACTGTGAAGCCCTGCTCATGCCTTCTCTAAAATAATAATGCACATGCCACTTGAACAGACATTCCTGTTTAAGCACAAAAGCATAGGAAACTGATAAAAACAGTGGCTGGTCTTCCTAGATTTGTCCTCCATAAAAAGATTAAGGTTTTTCACTCCACATTTTTAATTACACACCCTTTTTAAATTGTAATAATAATAAATCACTTTCTTTAGCATATCAGTGTCATTTAAGAAACATTCCTGAGGCTTCTGTGGGACTTTCAATCTGAAAGAAAAATATTTTCCTTTTTTTAAGACCAACCTAACTATTATCCCTCAAAAGCAAGATCTTGGGGTTATAAGTGGCAGTTCCATGAAAGAATTAGTTTATTGTTCAGTGGTCAGAAAGCAAGTCAAATACCAGAAATTATTAGGAAGGGAACAGAAAGCCAACGTAGAACCTCAGTATGCTACTGCATAAACCTGTGGTTTGCTGTCATCTTGAGTACTCTGTGCAGTTCTGGTCAAAAACATTTAGCAGAACTGGGAAGTGTCAGAGATGCCTATGGCCATCGCTGTACAGTCCTTAATACTGGACCAGTGGACCAGAAAATCATCATACAAATTTGGCTTGAATTAGGAACATGCACATACTCATATTTTTATAAAGTTGGGCAGTATTTACAACAGAGATAGCATATAACAAACTAACGAAGCAGTAATCTGGGTCTTTTCAGTGTTTCTGAGGACACTAAGATTAAAAAGACATTAAGGGAAGACACTTGAAAGATATCAACCAGAAAGAGTTGCACATAGGCTTGGGGCATGTCTTCTAAGAGCAGTAGCTTGGGTGAATGTGTGAAAGTGGTTGTTTGCAGACAGTAGGCAGAAGGCATAGTGGTGGGATGGCAGTGCTAGGTTAACGGTTGGACGTGATGATCTCAAAGGTCTTTTCCAACCTAAACGATTCTATGATTCTGATGCAGAAAATGCCGATACCATGGTCTGCTTAGAGGTGAAAGACTTTTCAGTTCTGTGTGGTACATGGGATGGAAGTAGCCCCTGAAGGATCTTGGCAGCAAAAAGTTAGGCATAACAATGATCCTTCAAAAAATTTTGGAGCAGCTGGAGATGTAGAATGAGGACCGTCTTGGTCAGAGGGACAGGCTGGGAAGAACAATAGGACCATTCGCATAGCATGGTAAGAGCATTCTGAACACATCTGAGAATAGCAAGGTTAAACTTACGGAAGCCAGAGGAAGAGATGCTGCATTAACTGTGTGAGGTGTCAGGGGAGGATACAGAGAGATCTGCACCGGCCATAGCTGACAATAGTGACCATATGTGTAATTTAAATTAAAACAGTGGACGTGATGATCTCAAAGGTCTTTTCCAACCTAAACGATTCTATGATTCTGATGCAGAAAATGCCGATACCATGGTCTGCTTAGAGGTGAAAGACTTTTCAGTTCTGTGTGGTACATGGGATGGAAGTAGCCCCTGAAGGATCTTGGCAGCAAAAAGTTAGGCATAACAATGATCCTTCAAAAAATTTTGGAGCAGCTGGAGATGTAGAATGAGGACCGTCTTGGTCAGAGGGACAGGCTGGGAAGAACAATAGGACCATTCGCATAGCATGGTAAGAGCATTCTGAACACATCTGAGAATAGCAAGGTTAAACTTACGGAAGCCAGAGGAAGAGATGCTGCATTAACTGTGTGAGGTGTCAGGGGAGGATACAGAGAGATCTGCACCGGCCATAGCTGACAATAGTGACCATATGTGTAATTTAAATTAAAACAGTTTTTGTCAGCAGCAATCTCTCTTGCAGGTGCAGAAAAAGTATTTTTTTTTTTTTATTTCTTTGGCTAGTTAGTTATAAATCAAGAAAGCAATTGGGACATGAAAAAGCAGGAAGTTTTGTTTTCCAGGAATAAATGTTGGGTCTGAGACAATAATTCTTAAATTATGAAGGATGTAACTGGAAACTAGTTATTCAAGTAACTGGAACACTCAGTATATTAGCTTATTTCATGTAAACTACCCCCAAAAATTTCTATGCTATGTTTTATTTATATTTTACTTACTTTAATCTTCCTCTCAAAAGTGTTATATTTAGCTTAATAAAAATGCTAACAATTAGGAATGAAAAATAAATTTGAAATAGCATGTATTCCCTCTATATAGTGAAAAGAATGACAAATTGAATGTGAAGTCCTTTTTTCCCATGCAAATCAATGTATTTTAATGGCTGGAGAGGGAGGTGGCTACTGTTGGAGGCAGGCTCACAAG